AGCAAGTATTCATGTCAATGAAAGTGTCAGTGTCATCAAAATTAAAAGTCCTGACACCATTGTTTATGAACAAGAGTCAAATGGCTTTGTCATGTTTTCATTATGACAGTTTACTCTGTAAATGTTTTCCAATGCAAAAAAGTCAGATCTTGGTGACACTACCTGAAAATACTCTACACTATTTGCACAGCCATTTGAAAACTACAGTAAAGTTACACATTACTGTATTTAGTGAGGTGAGTACAAGACACTGAATACATATGTTTCACATTTTTACTGCAATTCTAATTTGTTCACAGCATTGTGCAAAAGAAAAATACACACTTACTTATTACTTACGTATGACACAATGACAGTAGTGCAGATTGTTTAGTGCTGAATTACTGTCCAATATACACACCTGTTCTCCTGACGAAATGTTTGAATAATTGAATTTACAGTGGTTCTCCCAACATTTGGATGCACCCTTCGACCAGCCTCAGCCATTGTGAGGCCGTGATTGACAACATGGTCCACAATTGTAGCCCTAATTTCATCAGGAATCCACCTATTTACTTGGCTTCTTCTTCCTCTTCCCCTGTTTTGTCCCCTTCCCCTTCTTCCCCGCATCCTCACCCCTCTTCCACGACGTTGACTTTCCATTTCTGTGTCACAGTATTGTAGAAATGGTACACACTGTGTCCTGCTCGGTTCATATATGTTTGCCAAGTGAAGGTTCATGGGATTCAGCTTTGAATGACTGTGGAGAAGTGGCTTATCATTGGTTACAACTAGGGATGGGAATTGATAGGATTTTATTGATATCAATGCCATTATCGATTCTGCTTATCGATCCGATTCTTTATCGATTCCCTTATCGATTCCTCCTGTGAATTAATGATATCACCTCCTGTTGTTTGTAACCCAATACATCAGCTTTCATAACGTTTTATTATGAACCTTAAAGCCATGGTCTAGTTTAGAAAGACGATGAGAAAGATTTGGAAAATCCCGGCCCACAGCCTGAGTGTGTCAACACCACACAGCTAGTGCAGCTAACTCAGGTGAGGCAGCTAACGCAGCTAGCCCAGCATATTATAACAACAAATGGCTTGCAAATCAACTCAACTGCCCTCATCTTACCATCCTTGGTGTTTCCATGAAATCCGACAACAGGAGCAGGGACGTGCCGAGGCTCCACAGCGGGCTAGCAGCTCCAGTGAGGCTAACACAACAGCGTCCTGCCGCTGTCTACCTGGAGTGAGGATGCACCGAAGTTCCACAGCGGGCTAGCAGCTCCAGTGAGGCTAATAACAACAGCGTCCTGCTGCCGTGTACCTGGAGCGGGGATGCGCTAGGTTCCACAGTGGGCAAGCAGCTCCAGGGAGGCTATTAACAGCGTGAAGTGAAGCCACGGCTTTGACCGCTTCTGTCTCTCCGCCATTACGTCTTCTTTGTTGTTGAACGTGCTGCTGACTGACGAGCATAGATTCGGCGTAATGAAAAGAATCGATAAGGGAATCGTTAAGCATAAAGGCTAATGATGTCGATGAATTGAACCAGTTGGAACCGGTTCTTAACAGGAACCGGTTCTTGATTCTCTTCCCTAGTTACAACCAATACTTCACACACTCCTCCTCATCAGTGAAAGCTGAGGTTCACCTGAGAGAAATTGTTCAATTTAGGAGACGTTTTCAGGAAAAAATGATAAAGAAATGTATAAAATTTGCTTGACAGATTTTGACAATTAGTTCAACATTTTTGTATGTAATGACTCAAGCAATGAAATGAGGAATATTAGTTTTATAGGGAATGACTATTCAATATTCATAAGTATAGTTTATTTTGACTGACATGACATAAGCAAATGATAATGTTATAAAACAGCAGAGAATTGTATGAAAGCAATTGATGCATGTCCAAAGCATTTGCAATTTGTTGGAAGGAATGAGAAACTGCTATTATGATGTGCACAAATGACTAAATGTTGTGGAGGCTGAACTAACAGTTATGAGAATTTTAATTCTGATCAGAGAAATGCACTAAAGCAACTGTAAAACTGTAATAGAACATAGACATCAAAATGAACAATAGAAGCAGACTTAACTAAAGCCATAGTTATGGCAAACATAACAAACTGTGTCCTATTGGCAGCATTTTATCTACTCTATTACTGAACCAAAAGCTACTAAATAAGGATTTATTACCACTGTCACTATGCAAATCAGGCACAGGTGCTGTATCTGAGGGGAAGGTATTTTTGTTGCCCTACCTCTGATTCCAAATATAAAAAACAAATTTGAATTTGGATGATGTTTTAGCCTAATAAAGGAAAATGACTGAAATATACCACACATTTGTGATTAGAATAGTTATTAAAAATGTGCTTTAATTAATTGTTAGGCTTCTTTTCATCATAAAAAATTCTATGTACCATCATCAACATGTGTCAGTTCATTTTATAAAGTAAGGGATTCACTTTGAGATGTTACGGGAAAACCCAATGATTATAGTCTGTTGAAGAAAAAGTGTTAAACTACTTTTTGGTGTTTAGCTATTTTATTTTTATTTTATTTTGTCCCTTTTTTGAGAATGTGTCCACTGTTGGTATATGTAAAGGTATACTATGCAGGATTGTTGATTTCTGTTTGTAAACATGCTCACCAGCAAAAGTAAAAGTGAAAATCAACCACAGATTCACTCTTGTTTGATGTTTCACCCTGCTATGGTTTTTTTCTCTCTCTGCACTGTGTCTTTTTGATGCCTGCTGCTTATGGCCTGGCACCCATTTACTACCTTTTATAAAGCCCTAATCTCACCTGAGTGCTGTAGGTTTTCATGCCTATAAACGTCCCGAGCATAGAAAACAAGGAGAAAGCACAGGCAGAAGGCAGTCTCTCTGCATATAAATACACCACACCACATTAAGAGTGGGTTTAAGTGATGATTGGTGATTTTATTTTATTTTACTTATTTATGAAGGGAATGCACATTAATTAACATCACTCTTAATGTACCAAAAGGTTAATTTTCAGTGGTTGTCCCTTGGCCAGATGTTCCATTAGTTTCCCATTGTGACTTGGATATCCCATGAAACTTGCTTAAAGGGATAGTTCAGATTTTCTCTGAAGTGGGATTGCATGGGGTACTTATCCAAAGACAGTATATTACATACAGTAGATGATAGTCAGCACACCTCCAGTTTGGAGAAGCGGGCTGGAGCCTGACATGGAAACTGAGAAATCTAGTGCTGTTGTGAGGTCAGCAACCAAATGTGTTGTAGCCACACCTAAAATAAGTCCCACCTTAAAAAAAATCACAATAATTTTAAGTATATGCTATATTCAGAATATTTTTACTACTTTGCCTTAATGTCAGACAGTGATTTTCAAAGACTCCACTGTTAAAAACAGTGATTTAGCATCACTGAACACATGAGCTGGTGGTGTACCACTGCCTCAAACAATCATTTTGTTTGGGTTATTGTGTGACTTTGGCATTTAAAAGGGTTAGTTAATCAGAAAGTCAATCAATAAAACAAACAAACTAACTGATTGGAGCAGCAGCTCCTGTGTTCAGCAATCTTTGTCAGCAGAGTCTGGTGGCTTTGACGAGAGCATAGATGAGGAACTGAAGCTGTTAATGTCTTTACTGTCAAAATGGGCTGTCTGATGAAAAGGTTAAGTGGCGAAAATACTTTCAATATAGTGTACAGTGTATAGTGTGATTTTTTTTTTTTTTTTAGGTGGTTAAAATACCTTTTGTCGCTGGCTCCCATCCACAGCAGTACATTGCTTAGCTTCTGTCTCAGACTCCAGCCTGCTTTTCCAAAGTGGGGGCATACTGACTGACATCTACTATATGTAACACACTGACTATGGATAAGTGGGCGGCTGTGGCTCAGAGGTAGAGTGGTTCGTCCACCAATCGGAAGATCAGTGATTCGATCCCCGGCTCCTCCAGTCTGCATGTCGAAGTATTGAGCAAGATACTGAACCCCAAGTTGCTCCCGATGGCTGTTCCATTGGTGTGTGTGGTGTTTAAAAAAACTGAGTAGCAGGTGGCACCTTGTAGGGTAGCAGGTATAGGGTAATAATGTGTGTGTGAATGGGTGAATGTGACTCGTAGTGTAAAAAGCGCTTTGAGCGGTTGGATGACTAGAAAGGCACTATACAAATGCAGGTCCACGACCAAGTACCCCATGCAACCCCACTACTAAAAATCCAAACTACCCCTTTAATATGAATTCTTGTACAGCAGAATAATGTTTAGATTTTGTGGCGTTTGTCTAGTGGGACTGATAAAAAGAAAGACCCTACCTTGCTGTCCTCAAAAGGTCTGACTAGTCTCCCTTTAGCCGAAAGGAAAAAAAAATCATCACCTCTAATAACTTCTCTACAGCCTCTAACAGGTGCTGTACATCTGCGGTTCCACAACTGAATCTACAGTGTTTGAACACACTCACGCAACTACACACACCTACAGAACCTTCTACGCACAAACCTGTACACTTCTGCACGTGGTTTATGCATCAGAGACAACACACTTACGCACACACCCGAGAAAGTCCACTCTTATTTATATAAACGCACCTGTTTGACTGTCATTACCTCACCGAGGCTATCCATCACTGTATCGATGCACCTCAGCTTCCTCACATTACCCTCCTCCTCCCCTCCACCCTCTGTGTGCTCTCACTGTGAGGGGGACGGCAGAGGCGATGAGAGCCCGCCTCCTCCCCTCCTATTGGGCTGTGTGAGGACTCCAGGCTGGCGGAGGAGGAGGAGGGGTGGAGGGGGGCTGGTTGCAGCGCTGCGTCTGACAGCTTTGCAGGCTGAGCGCAGCTTGACTCGCCGGCTGCTCAGCGGGGACTCTACTTCTTGGTGTTATTACCAGAAATATTACTATTGTTAATCCGGCAGGGTAAAGTGTTTCAAGCCTCCGGAATATTTCTGTCTCAGCCGGGACCTAAGAGCGCAGAGGCGGACTGACTCCACAGCATCACAACGCTCTACTTCCATTTGGACACGTTTGTCGAGTGCGTCTTCTCCTCAATCCACCTGCCTGCGCGCGTCGGGAACAGGAAGCCCATGGAGGGATGTCGCGATGCTGTGCACAAGGAGAACTAAAACTTTGGTGTCGACATGTGTGATCCTGAGCGGCATGACCAACATCGTGTGTCTCCTCTATGTCGGCTGGATCACCAACTATGTCGCCAATAACGGAGGTCCCAAAGTTGCGGAGAGCGGCGGGGAGGCCGACAGAAACTTGGAAGAGGACAGTAAAGGGGAAACGCTGAGGATTATCGAGAGGCTCGACCGGCTGGAGAGCGTCGTCAACGAGCACATCAAAGGTCAGCACAGTGTGGTGGTGTTGTGGTGAAAGTTTGGAATGAATGTGTCAGAAGTAGCATTAGATTACTACTGAAATGACCTGAACCAGCCTGCAGAGAAAAGTATTAACTCACTGTAGATCACCAACACGTTAACTCTCTGTAGGAATACTAAACATGTCACATAAATTATTGAAACATTAGTTCATTTATCCATTAGTTGACTTACAAAAATAACAACAATTCCAAATATTCACAGCTTCTAGCTACTGAAAAGTAACTTTTTTTATCTGTTTACCTGCTTTATATCAATGTAGGATGACTAATTGTTTGCCTTAAAACTGTTGGTCAGATAAACAAAGCAGTGTGAAGTTGTCACCAGGGGCTCAGGAAACTTGTGATGGGCATTTCACACTGTTCTTTAAGATTTCACACACTAAACATTTATCAATTAATTAGGAAAACAACAAACGGATTAACGGATGAGGAAGAAATAAATCAACCCTAAATTTCCTCCCTTCAGTTGCGTCACATGTAAACCTTAGTAGTTGGATAATTATTTCACTTAAGTTACAGTAATATTGAGGTGAAGTCGACTGATCTTCAACAGTGAAATGTGGTGGAAATGATGTCAGTTGTTGTTTCAACATTAAAACAACATTGAGGCAATGTTTAATTCTGATGGTCCTGAAAAAAAGTTTAACAAATGTCACATAAGTCAACATTGAAATTTTATAAATATCTGTTTCAACATTAAAATTATTTTGAAACAACATTTAAAGTTTATGAAACAACACTGCAGAATCAAGGTTGATTCATCTTTCAAAATCAAAATATAATTCAACAGTGATTCAACTGTGGTGTATGACGTTGAATCAACAGTGAATAAACATTAGAATACCAGCTGATAAAGCAATATGATAATCCAACATATGGAGCTGCAGAACCATTCCAACAAAACATAATGGTTCATTGAGGTATATCATAGTAACACGGTTGGAGTGTTACTATGTTACCCCCCAGATGTGTTTTAAGACGGGGGTCTGCAACGGTTCTCAGGCCAAGGACTCTTTAGCTGAAAGGGAGAGGTAGTAGGGACCCCCTACTACATGTATTGTACAAAATTGAATTGCATATTAAATCAGGTGGATGGAGGTTGCCAGAAGGCAGTTTCAGCCTCAGTCGTGACCTGTATTGCTTTTCAGGTAGCTGAGGGAGGAAACTTCACTTTCACAAATATAATTTGTTGCAAAGGCAAAATGTACTTTCAGACATATTTTAATTGCTGACAAGAAAATAAATGTTTAAAAAAATATCAAAAATGATCAAACAATAATTTGGCAACCCCCCTGCAGTAACTCTGAGGAGCCCGATGGGTCCCTGACCCCTTGTTGAAGACCCAGGTTTTAAGAGGTTTAAAAATACTCTACTTTCAACACATTCTCACTCCAACTTTGTCACATAACAACATTTGGTTATTGACTTCCCACGTCAAGATGTGACGTGCAAGGTACCCTGGGTGTGTTGGTTGTTGACATTCTGGACACCGTGTTAACTTCAGCCTGTTACATGCATTGTCTGTTTTCAAAATACACTTCTGTTTTCACGTGAAATGTACAGTTTGCATACAGTCTCATTTTCAAAATAAACACACTACGTTAGTACATTGCGAATTGACATTTTTTTCCTTAAACAATGAGTGCACGTGTATACTTTTAGCCTGCACATGCACATGGTCAGGTTTAGGCAACAAATGCTTCGGTTGGGTTTAAAAAAAAAAAAAAACAGGGTTTGGCTTTATGGGAAGTGAACGCCAGCCTCCACCTCAGTTGTTGGGCCCACTCACCCCATTTAGATTTTCGCCACCTTAACTTTCGTTGCTGTCCAGCGGCATTTCCCCCTGATACCACCAGCTGCCATTAAACAATAACGGTGACCTGCCATGTATCATGCTGATGTGAAAGGACAGCTTTTTTCGTCGGTGTCTAATGCCGGAAGTCACTGACCAAGTGCCAGCCTCTCATAGAGACTGAAATGCTCCAAAGCCAGGAAGTGTTGGTAGGATGGTGTCAGTCTGGAGTTGCTCATGCTCAGCCATTCAGAGCAAAACTCAAGAAGTACCCTGGCTTAGAATGTGAACACGACGCAAGTGTTTACATCTGTCCCTGTCCAATAAGTTCAGCCATACAGGATATAATCACAGCCGAGTGATGCGCATGTTTTACATCCATTATGTTGCACCATTCTTGAGCTGTAAAGACCAAGCAGCCCAGTCTCACAAAACTGTTACAACGATCATGATATTGAAGATTGGGTTTTAAATTTTGAATTATTGATCTTTCTGCATCAAGACGTAACCTTTAAGAGAGAATTGCGATGTGACTAAAAAGTATCCCCTCAAACATAGTGCATTCTGAAAAGTTCACAAAATCCTGAATTCCCTTTTTAATACTTAGAGAAATTTGAACTTGGACATCCGGAGGGAGCTCGGAGTAGAGCCGCTGCTCCTTTGCGTTGAAAGGGGTCAGTTGAGGCGGTTCGGGCATCTGATCAGGATGCCACCTGGGTGCCTCCTGCTGGAGGTGTTCTGGGCACGTCCCACTGGTAGGAGGCCCCGGGGCAGACCTAGAACACATTGGAGGGATTACATATCTCATCTGGCCTGGAAATGCCTTGTGGTCCTCCAGGAGGAGCTGGAGTGTTGCTAGGGAGAGGGATGTCTGGGGTGCTTTGCTCGGCCTGCTGCTTCCGCGACCCGGCCTTGGATAAGCGGATGAAAATGGATGGATGGATGGATGGATGGATAGAAATTTGAAGTAATTTCTCACAGTGAAACATACTGTAGTAGGGCTGCAGCTAACAATGTTTTGTCCGACCAACAGTCGGACACCCCAAAGAGTCCACTGATTCTGCACATCAAAGTCTGTTTACAGTTGTTAGAGAGTACTACTGCATATATGAAAATAGTTGTAAAGTGTTTTGTGGCTGTGGAGGAAGCTGTGTGAACTGTGATAGATTCAGGTTTGAAAATATAAAAAATTCCAGGGGGTGTGGAGTTAGAAAGAAGGGAGCTTACCAGACCTCTGTAGCCCGCTCCTCACCGCAGCTGGAGGTTAACAGCAGGAGACTGCAAGCATAACACACCCAAAACTCCAACTGAGCTGTTGGCGGTTCAGTTGCATTGTAAGTAATGTAGACACCAGGCAAGAAGAATGTGTGATATAAAAAAGATGTTATCTCTTGTACTGCATTGATTCTGATCTTGTTTATTTAACTGTGTGTGACTCAGAAAATGTAGGACAGCAATGCTAAATTATTCAAATACTCTTTAAAGAAATTACATAAACGATTAATTGCAGATTAATTTTCTGTCAGTCAATAAACAGATTAATCAACTAATCTTTTCAGCTTTTTTCCACATAAAGTCAAAGTTTCCACAGGACAAGAAAGGAGCACTTTAATTAGTCCCTCCAGGGTGTTGCGATCGCAACAATTAACACAAATTCAGGCACTCCCCAAGCATTCTGTGAGACCTTGCAATTGTGTCCAATCACAGCAACTCTACAGCAGATTTCATAATTTAAAATGGGTTAAATCTCATTTCATTGTAGAGCAGTGCACAGCGTATTGTTTCACTGAGCCCCTTCTTGCCCCTCTTTTCTCATTAATGTGAGCTCTGTGCCTGGGGTTAGGGTTAGGGGTAATTGTCAGAGATGTGATGTGTGGCTGATGTGACAGAGTCACACACACACACACACATGGTGACAGGGCTAATTGTTAGCATCACACAGCTTACATCATCCTTCACAAATAGATTCTAACTCTGTGGGATACACTGAATGCTCATGATTATAGACTCCAAATCGGAGATGACATTTTTCAGTTGCCCCTGCAATTCATTGCAAAATACGCCCATAATCATTGCAACATGCATCTGAGTTTTTTGTAGAAGCTGCCATGAAATCAGACATTTCAGACTGCAACAATCTCAGAAACTGACAGCGAAATCCTAGAGGGACTGTAGGGATGCATGATAATATCAGCATGTCATCAGTTGAGTTGCACCGATACCAGTTTAGGAAATGCCTCCGATACTGCCTAAAATGCGGTATCAGGTATCGGCGAGTACAGCCTATGACCAATCCGATACGCACGCTACAGGCAAACGAAACGGAAACGGAGCAGAGTTTAAAAAGCATTCTACTGTAGCCTTTAAAATGTCTTTTTTACCAAATTGTGTGGCTGCACTTTAACCTGTGTCTTGATCTGTGTCAACACTGGATAATAATAATATTTAAAAAAAAAAGTTTTATGGCCTTCATTCTACTGTTATGTATTTGTTTCTTAAAGCCCTAAACTTTAATTTTGAGGTGATTTTGGCGACCCTGTGGACAAAAGTGGTAGTGTTTTGCCGGAATGAAGGCTACATTTCCCATGAACTCTAGCGCGTATTGCGCCTATTTATGATAGTCACTGTTTCATTTCACTACTAGTCAAATGTAAGCAGCTAGGTAAGATGACGTGTGCCGTCTGAGTGCCGTAAATCGTTTCATCCTGGAAGCGACCTGGGGCGGACCCGGAGACAGTTTCCTAAAGGTATGGATATACACTATATAAAAATAGCTTATCTTCACACCGATGGTCTCATTTGCTGTTGTAGGTCACGCACAGACATCAGCAGAAACGAGAGACCTTTGCATATCCAGTTAAAAGTTCCTTGTAGTGGCTTTAATATTTTACATAAGAATTTAGGAGTTGAGACATACAACAATTCATATCCAATCCATTTTTATTTTACGCGCTGGTATCAAATCGGTACTCGGTATCAGCAGATACCTAAGGTTCAGGGATCGGAATCGGTATTGGGAAGGAAAAAGTGATATCGGTACATCTCTAGTCATCGGTATCGGCCGATGTCGACTTTAGAATGAAGAATCAGCCAACATGCTTTTTCTCATTTTGCACAATGAATCAACATTTTATACACTGAAAGCATTCTATTTCATGTCTCCATCTGCTGG